GATCTGCAGGGAAGGCGGGAGTGGGGGCAAAGCCAATCACAAATCTAGCGAAGGCTCTCTCTCAGAAAATTGCCATTACTCTTAATACTTAGAATAGGTTTTTGGGGCCCAATATACTTTAATTTTAATGAGGAACCCCCAAAATAGTATTGGTACTTATTAAGGCCCCTATATCAGGCAGGAAGCCCACAGCCCGAAGCTGAGTCCGAGAAAAGCAAAAATAATTCCAGGATGTGGCACGCAGCTTTTACAAGCGGATGCAGAGGGAGGTTTTTAGGGTTTTTTGCCTAGGTTTTAGGAACCCTAACCCCTAAACCGTCATCAGAGGAAAGTCCGTGTTGTGGACGCTGTGGGCCCCATTTTCTCGACCAACCACAAACCCGGGGGCTGTGGATACTGGGTCTAGGTTCCCCAGTAGCCCCTTAATAATAAGGGTACCCTTGTTCCTTCTATTTGGTTTTAAGAGGGGAACTTAAAAAGAAAAAGAGCAAAAGGGTACTACTGGGAACCTAGGGGTGCAGGGCTTCGAGTTGCGGGATCGTGGTCACCGCATATGCACACACGAAGCTCCCAGGACGGATATCTCATACAAGCCTCTACCGAAGCTGCATGCTGCGTACCCTTTAATTCAGCAAACCTGCCGAATGCTACAGCTACAGCACTGCCGAGGAAACGATGTCGGAATGTATCGAAATGTTGCAGTCATCACAAAGCCCGACCGTATCCGGACATGATAACGACAATGATGATGGTGATGATGATGATGATGGTGATGACGATGAGGATGATGAGCTGAAGGGGTGCTGACGGCGGGCCGGGTCCTCATCCGACGAAACAGTGAAGGTCACGTCCTCGCCGAAACCTGAATTACGGCAAGGACGGCTTTGGGGTGTTTGAACCAGGCACTCCCATCCCTGGATCTGAACCCGAAGATGCTTCATCCAGGTGGATACAGGTCTTGTCTTAATTCTCTGCTCCCGGACCCGAGTTTGGCATTTCGGAATCTGTTCAGGTCATTTTGGGGTCGTGAGTGTTGTTCTGCCTCTTCCGACGATGTCGTTTGCATCTCGCGAAGGTCAAGTTAGGAAGGTCGACTAATTACGAACTCGATCATGGAACAAGCCCGTCGGGACCAACCCGTGGCCTTCTGAACTTCCGAAACTTTGCCCAGTCGCTGCATCTTTCTGGAGGATGGGCAGCAGAACTGCTGGAAGTACGCGAGGTCCCGGGGCAAGGTGGGGTGCCGGCCTGAATTCCGGATAGTTGGAATGACTCGGTCGACTAGGACAAGTGCTTCTCATCCCGGGGCCACATGAAACACATCGACAAGGAGCCATCATCAGGATTTACTCCAGGGCTTTGTAACAAAGCAAACCGTCATAGTAACATCTAGTGCGTGTAAGCTAAGGAAAACTGTATCAACCCTAAACCCTAAACCCTTAACCCCTTTCAGGTTTAGGGCAGCCTCCTTGGATTTCTCCGGCTCACTGTCCGAATCGACGGCAAAGACCATGTTCAACTCAGAGGAGCGGGACCAGGCTTCCGGGTTTATATAAAAGGAAACTACAGGTGGGGAATTTAGGGTATATAGGGCTTCTATAAGGCTTCTATAAGGTAAATAGACCTTCTATAAGGCTCCTATAATGGTAACTACCCACCTGAAAATGTCCTAGAATATAAGGCTTCGGCTCTCACTCGGACAATCCAGGTGAGGCAAGTGGTTCGAGGTCCGCTGAGAAGTGAGACAATAGCGAGCACAAGACCGCCGAACAACAGTGATCCCCATAAGGAAGCAACCTACTAATTTGGTTTAGGGTTTAGGGCAGAGGGCCTAGGGCACATGAAGCTTCAAGATTCTACGCCGAAGGACCACTGAGATAAAAGAATCCAACAACGAGTGCCCGATTCCAAAGCTGCATTGCCTTTGCTGCATCACTAGGACTCTCTATATCAACCTTATGACCCTTGATTACCAAACTGACCTGGGAGACTGCGCGTGGCGCATCTTGCCCGAAGCTTTTGTATGGGGGGCCTAGATTCCTAGATAGTTTTCGAAGTGCTTGGGGCAAGTTCTACCGATTCCTACGTTCTTATAAGCCTTGCCTCAGCTTGATTGAAGTGACTGGTTTCACAGCTGAAGATCCCACCTCAACCAATTGCAAATCACGTCCGGGGAGCCCCACGTCAGACAGGAGGCCTTGCGACTTCTCTGCTGCCATGGGATCCTCCACTTGCTCCTCCAGAACGCACAGAAATGCTAGGCCAAAATCCAAAAAGCATTGAATTGAGAGTGCCCTCTGCAACCTTCCCAGACCTCCAAAACCGAAACCTGGGGCCACGAAGTCTTAATCCAAACCCCTCCAGCCGTTCATCTACCCACCCACCTAAATCCTAAAAAAAACTCACTGGACCCTACGCCCTACACCCAAAACCTCCCAACCACGACCCCGAACCCTAAAAATTCAAATCCCCAGACCGGAAGCCCCAACACGCTTCGAGTCCCTACACCAAGCTTTCCCAAAAAGCCTCCCAAGAAAGCCGGCCCTGAATCGAATCCCTATGCTTACCCAAAACCCAAAGCCCTGAACCCTGAACCCTAAACATCTAGGTTCAGGGTTGAGGGTCTAGGTTCTGGGTTGGGGGTCCAACCTTTTTTGAGGAGGGGCTGCAGTGCGCATGCCATCATGCCCTCATGCCCGACCCTAACCCTAAACCCTAAACCCTAAACCCTTAACCCAAACTAAACCTAAGAACTTTCCTCGAGTCGTTCGTCCAGGGATAACTCCGCGAGCTGCCGGCGCAATTTCTCGGCCTCGGCTTCGGCTGCGGTGCGGCCTCGGAGATCGGCTACGGTAGGGTTTAGGTTTAGGGTTTAGGGTTTAGGGTTTAGGGTTTAGGGTTTAGGGTTTAGGGTTTAGGGGCTGTAGGGTTTAGGGTTCTTTGCCGCAGGGGTCAGGGTTTGGGGTCTTGGGTTTAGGGTTTGAGGGTGTGGCCAGACAGGGTTTATATAAAGAGCCTGTAGTTCTGTCTGTCGGGGTCTCAGGGATTCAATTACGGATTTTGTAGGGGTTTGGCGTCATCAGGGTTTGGGCTTTAGGCTTGCAGGTTTATGGCTTTGGGTTTAGATTTAGGGCTATTGGGGTTTAGAGTTTAAGTTTTTCGGTTTGGGATCAGGACTGGGGGTTTTGGGTTTTTGGTGTTCAAGAGATCCCGCTTCACAGTGTAATACATAGGCAAGAGTATGCCCTGCCAGCGCCAACGTATTGCGTACAGTTTGATCTATCCAGAAACCGTATTCTAAATAGCAAGACCCTATAGTATGGTGTTTTTTGGGCACGTTTTGGCCTTGCCGATCGCAGAGCAGAGGCTGAAACTTGTGACACTTTTCCAAGCCAAAGTACTCCCCGAACTGCACCAGTCATGTCAGTGCCCTGGAAGCTTGCTTGTCCAGTATTCTGGGGAACTGAAGGTTAACCTTCGGGAGTAGACTAGGGTTATACAGGCATTACAATACCCCAAAAGGGTTAAAGTTAAGGGTCACCTACTCTGCAAACCCTAAACCTTAAACCCTGAACTACAAGGGAGGCCCGCAAGCCATAGGCCCCTGAACTAGGGAGTTTCCGTCTGAAGCCCGGACGAGTCAGCGTAGCACAATACTCGGCAGCGGCACAGGAGCGCCAGAGATGCTCCCCGGCACAAGAAGCCTGGAGGGTTCTCATGCAAGGGTTCCTTTGAAAGGGTTCCTATAAATAAGGGTTCCTTTAACAGGGTTCCTATAAATAAGGGTTCCTTTAACAGGGTTCCTATAAATAAGGGTTCCTGTAAACGGGTTCCTACAAGGTTTCGATATAGTTTCTATCAGGCTTTAGCTAGGCTTCAGGCCTTTTGAGGGATTCGATACACGGTTCGGTACCAGCACTCGTGACCGGGCGCTTGGGTTTACAGTCGAGGGTCGTGCGGCTGGTAAATGCCGACATACCACGCCAAGCTCCGTATATTCCGAGTCTGGTTTTCCCTTCTCCTTCAAGCTGTCCGCAATGAGGATTTCTCATGGCTTATGGTTGGCCCTTACATTTGCTCTGACGGGATCCGGTATTATAAGAAGCACTATGGCCAAACCAAAAGAGTCTGACCCATCTTCAACCGCCGCACATGGTGTAGCTGTTTTTTGCTTCGAAGGCAGAGTAGGGCAGGGAGTAGGGGGTCGGGCGGGTGCGTTGAGAACGGAAGTTCCTGAAGAGAATCTGAGTGCCGGGCGCATTTCCTGCACAAGTCCTCTGCCACTGTCCTTCCGGGTTCATGAGCTACAGGTACGATTTCCCCATAACTTTTGCCACAGTCCAACCTGGAGCGGCATCATCCTACAGTTCACCGAGGCCCTAAAGCCTAAAGCCTGACCTGAAATGTAAACCCACAACCCCCCAAGCAGGGGACACTGCAGGTCCTGGCTTCGCGAAACCGCGTCCGGAGCCCATTCAACGCTTCGGGGCCTCGGACAAACTACTGTAGCGAGGACCTGTTCCCGCAAAACTTCCAAGTCCAGCTCCAAACCAAGGCCAATCATGCCAAACATGTTTCAAGTAAGGTACTTTCATCTGTCCACCACTCGAGAGAGCCTAGGCAGCAGCCTACCAGTAGCCGGGCGATCATGCTTTCTAAAGAAAGCATAACACCCGAGAGTTTAAAAATGCAAACTCTACAACCTCGAGCATGCAGGAATTGTGTCGCTTGCATTTTTTCCTGAAACAACTTCGTTGCATGGTTCCGCCCACTGGTGATGGCGATGACAGTGGCCGCAGGTGAGAACGATCAATATCTTTTTGCCTGATCTAACTACCCAAAGCCTGATCCCTCAAAATCCCTCAAAGCTCTAAGTCCTGAATACCCTAAGCCCTTTTGCATCCAGGCCTCTTCCAGTCTTGCCGGGAAAGGGTGAGTTTAAGCAGTACTCGTGACGTGGCTACAACTTCAATAAAAAAACACCCTAACCCCAAATATCCTTAAAGCCGACATCCAACCACCTGAAAGCTCAGGCCCTCGACCTGCACAGGTGCGGCAGAGGTCGCCGACGGTGACCTGGGTTGCAGTTTTGGGGCCCTCAAACGGTTTCATCCCTCCCTTCGAAGGTCTAGACTCTCGCAACTCGGGCCATGCAGGCGAGAATGGCCATAGTTCGCAGAGAAGGTTGAAGGTTTAGGGCTTGGGAAGTATTTAAGAATTGGCACCTCCATAGGAACCATACAGGGAATTGAAGAGTTTCCCAAAGTGCCATCGAGTGACCGTGCCACACTTGCGACAAACGGGCCGAAGCAATCGGCCTGCCCAGCGCCCGACGCGAAGTCGTGTCAGATTACTGCATGTCTTGCAGTGTTGCCGCTGCAGTACCAGATGAAAAGTGATGAAACCATACATGGGATATAGCTATAACTATGGCAACAATCAGGAAAACTAGATGACTTAAAACGGAAAGTCTTTCCGAACCTCCATACCTTTACCCTAAACCCAAACACGCTCCAACTGACGAAGTTCCGCATCCTAGGAATTTACCGGCCTAGTGGACCACTCGCACGCGAGGACGAGGAGGAGCTTGGCCTTTCAAGCTCAGGCCTAAGTACATGGTTTAGGTATTATTTGGGCCCTATGGTTTAGGGTTTAGGTGTGATTTGGGACGTAACGTAGCATCTAGGAATCGGGGCCCCTCTGCAAAACAAACCCCCATGTGCTCACGCGGCTCGCAAGATGATGAAGTGCGATGCAAGCGTCTTCCTTCAGTACTGTAGGAT